CTTTCAATTGTCTGATCGTATTAAGAATTGAAACTGATGACACATACAGCCTCGTTGTCAAACGTGGAAGTGCGCAGATCGACGCTAAAAGCGTCGTATTGGGATCCCTCTATGACGACTTTTAGCTCAACGGTAGAATACGGTAGGGGCTTGAGTTGTGGACCTCAATAACACAGCGAACCACTTCTCCAGAAAAAGTCTGAACTCGTAAAGGCACAATGCTGGCGACTGTAAATGCTAACTTAAGTTACTAATTTAAGTTGTCAGAACATTTTCAGGAGAAACATAATCAACCTCTATAGTGTCTTGTAGTAATGAAGACTCTTTAAACCTGCTGCTGCTCATTCTATGAATTTTCTCTTTGCTCATATCAAGGGAACAAGCTTGCTTCTTCAAGGTAGTATTTACACAAGTGAATCTATTGCGTTGGGATTTTGGTATTGCTCATCGTGTTGTAATTCTGTTACAAAGAGTCCGCTAGAAAAAAATGTGTTTCTTTTCATTTTCATTAATAGGGCCTGTATTTAGTACATCCATATAATCACCGATGCTTGGATTTAGTGAGAAATGTTTGACAAGTAGGGGAAATTGAAGATTGCAATCTTGAAAGATTAACATTTCTCTGTCGTTCTCAAGGTAGCGAACACGATGAACAATATGCAAACGTCTTATCTCTCTTGTCTCAGTGAGATTTTCATCACATAACTGCCACTCATTCGTAAGACAAACAGCGTTTTAAAGGTTGAATCAAAGATTTACCAGGATTAGTATTTTTCCCCAGATTTGTGAAATGGTGTCAAGTGTACCCAAACTTGGAGGTGCGCACCTTTTAAAATATCGATTCTTTATATGGATTTTTCTTAGGGTCTTGTTCGTAACAAGTGGGAAAGTTTGAAGTCCAAGAACAAGACAAAATTGAATCAAAGTGAATACAAAAGGGTGCATGCTTCTAATGTCTTTAATTGAACTTAAATAAACTAAAAGGAAGAAAATATGGAAGACAATTTTCCCTCACTGGCAGTTTTAAATTTTTTAAAATATATTGTATCCATCATGCACATAAATGTACAGACGTCTTTTTATGTCCGTCAGCAAAGTGCAGATTTTGCACCGCAAAATAAATTGAGAGGTTGTAGAGAAGTGCAAGATTTATCATGGATTTGATGCTGCAACTGACGCTTGAAAAAAAGTAACATCTTTTAAATATTTCCTTTTGCAATTAGTATTAAATTGACAATGTTCTACGAGCTCAACTTTAATAGAATAGTGGAAGGATTATCTTATTTTGTTCTCATGAGTCATTGGAAATTCATCTCCCAGATTAGACATCGATAATCCTTTTAAAATCCAATGAAGTAAACGGCTAAACTGAACCATAGAGGAAGGATACAGAAAACCCAGTGACCTTTTTAAGGGCTTTCGACAAGAACGCATCGGCTAAATACCAACGTCTGTAAGGTAAGTTATATTTTGGCCTTCATTTTCATCTCTGTGCGTTTCATTGAGTAAGAATACCCTTTCCAGGTCCCCCAAACTATTCCGTCTGAGGACATGCTGCCGTACTTGCCGTTCAGATTGGAATAGTTGCACCCGTCGTACCACCAGGCGCCCTTGCGCATGACGGCACAGTTGTCACTACTCCACTTGTCGTTGTCGCGGTCCTTGGTGGTGAAGACTTGATTGTTATGGTAACTCAGTGAATCCCCTGCAACAAAATCAATGGGTGTAAAATCAATCTGTGATAATAAACGAGCAGAAAGAAAGCGTCTTAAAGTGCCTTTCTAAATGGGCGTCAACACTTGCGCCAAGCGTTGCGAATTCGTCAGAATCGCTCTCGGGGCAATTTTGACGGCCGAACGCAACGCACACGTATGTTATGTTAATGGAGTCGAATTTTGTATGAGTGAAAGTGAAATGCATGAACGCCTCACAAGGCACCCAAAAATGTGCATACGGAAAGGCACCTTTGGTAATTTCACCTCCAAAATGAAGATGATTATGCGTTTCGTTGAAAGTTTTCCGTCTGGTGGTCTTAATCATAAATTCGATTGCTTGATTAAGCTAATTCCATGCAGACAGCATTTCTGAATACTCTAATGCCTTGAATGCTAACAAAAAATCAGTATTTCAGTTCGATGTACTTCACGTTTATACATGCAGCACATTTCCTGCTGTGTCATGGGACACACAGAATTAAGTGAACCAGAAGAAAATGACGAGAATTAATGTGTATCTTTTTCGAAATTGCGATGTTACCATGGGTTGCAACATGAATGTTTCAGCGCCTAATTTTTTAAAATATCACATCAATGACTTACCAGGCGTTCCCGAATAGCCTCCCACAGTCAACCTGTATTTGTCACTTGCATTAGCCACACGAAACGTGCTGTAGACGGCAGACCTTTTGTTGCCGTCCAAGTCCTCGAGATCGACGCGGAGTCGGTACTCGGCCTGCGTCGTAAGTCGGTGCAGGTTGTCATTTCCGAGCCAGAACTCACGGTCGACATCGCCAAAGCCCTGGCGGTAGCTCTCCCAGTTACGGTAGAAGTCAACAGAGCCGTCTTGGCGCCGCTGGAACACCTACGGAAAAAAAAGAAAACTAACAAAACAGTAACAGAGCAATTCGCTAGCAATCTAGAGTAAATACGAGGGCGAAGGAGGAAGACTTGCGAACTACTTGTTTGTATCAACAAACTTGTACAGAATGTCTGAGTTGTGGAGACATATATTGGAAAACATCAAAGTAACAACACAATTCCAAAGTTACTCTAAACTCTGTAAGTAATGAGTCAGTACTATTATCAATGAATGTCAGATCAGATACAAATCATATTTGATTCAAGCACCTCATATAAAAGAGCAGCGCCGTAAGGGGCAGTTAGGAGTGCGCCCACCATCAGCTCATTTAAAAATTGCTTGTAATGCTTACCGTCCACCCGCCACCGTCAGTCGTCATATCACAGTACACCTCGATGGGCCCTTCATCGTCCAAGGGCTGAACTGTATACACACCACTGGTATTCACACCGTGTGCAAAAGCCTCAGAACAGTCCTTGGGGATTAGGGGAGGAGTTACAGGAGGAGTAACTGGGGGCGGAGGAGGGGAAACTGCAATTCCAAAAACATCGAACAGTCTTAACATCGAATCGGTATTCAACACTAACATCTGATATACGGAACTGCAAGGAATGCACTTTGTATGCCTACAAACTCACCTCATGCGTGAATGTACATGGCCAGGTTGTTTGTTTGCTCGTTGCAAAGTGATTTCCGTTTAACTCATTTCAACAGTCGCTATTGTGTTTTATAAACTCCCGATTTTGCTGTCCATCCTGTTGAAATTTGCACGTTTGCACCAACAGTGACTACGCTGCTGTATACAACTTTATTTATTGACTAGCTCAATTTTATAGCTTCGCGAAACATGGACCTTTAAGAATAACTCCAACCCTATTGCTCCACTCCGGAGCAAAATATTCGATAGGTGGTTGTATATAGAGAAGATTCACTTTTTATATGACAGAAATGATAATCAAATAAGGATTCCACGCGATCGTTCAAATTGAAACTTTCCTTTCTGAACCGCAAATTTACCTGGCCTGTTTTTCAAAAGCTCTGCAAGCTCTGAGACGGATTCTTTTACAAGACCTAACTGCAGTTTGACGTCCTGAAGTTCATAGGAAACAATTTCTTTGATCGTGGAGTAGTTACAACCGGCCTCGGAGAACGCAGGATCGTCAAGCGCGTTGATGATGACTTGCTGTTGGTAGAGGGCCTGAGCGATGTTGCCTTCTACTTCCCTCTGCAGGACAGGATCGTCACTAACTGTGGCGGTGCTGAAAACCCCGACCACTGTCAATGCAAGGACTGCAAACTGAAGAACCGATGTCATGTTGGAAGATGACTTCACAGTATCCAAGCGGAAAATGCTCGGAAGCCCCATCGTCTACCAATTTATAAATACAAAGGCCTGTGTCTGCCCTTAATGTGCAAAGCAGTTGTGTTTCTACATGTAAAAGTTAATCACTCCTTCGCAAAGTAATGTGTGTCTACCAGTCACCATGAAATGTCCACGATGATGTAATGGATATTTTTCAGTAACAATGAAGTTTGGCCACGATTGTAATGAAAACCTTCCAATCACCATCAAGTGCAGTTTGTAGCGTGAGGGGGTTGCCACACCACTTTCAGCTCTCGCCGGGCTGGCTATCAAACTGATGGCGCACGCGAGACTTTTTTTCACCACGGGAATGCACCTGAACAAACTTCCCACGCAGTGATTAAAACTGAACAAAACCTCGTTAGGTTAAAAAGGTCAACACATTAACACTAGTCGGGCTTCTACGTTCGCTTGCCATATTCGTCTAATCTGGGTTATTATCTACAGATATACATCTACCAGGGGACGACAGACGGTAAATGGCTTTCTTTATATCAGAAAAAGCATGAGTTTATCGTGTTTGCTACGAGTTTTGCGCGATATATCACCTCCAAAAGTGAAAGTGAAAGAGATTCTCAAACAAGATGTGACTGGCTTCACCTCCATTGCTTGTTCTGAAGTGTCTCCTTCAAAACGAGATAAATGACACTAATTGGACAGGCCAAATAAACAAATCTAGGGACAGCTTGAGCAAATTGGTTTCGATTTGCAACTATGGTTGGTTTCAATAACGATTAAAAAAATGAAAGCTGTTTTCTTGTCCAAATTAGAGCAGAGAGATTAGGCTCTACTGGCAGTAAAGCTTAGCTTGCATTGCAAAAGTGTAGAGGAGTTAAATCTTAAAATAAACCCATTAAATCTATTCACTGGACTGGCCGTTTGGTTCCATGTGAATGACAAATCGGCATAGGCATTTGGGGGAAGTGGAAAGGGGGCAGTCCCCCTCCCCGGAAAGAAAATGAAAACTTAATAAAAAATAGAAAAGATACAGCAAGAAAAATTCGGGCGGGGGAGGAGAAAAGGGAATAGGAATCGCCAATTTCTTTAATATTACTTCGTTACCCACCCTCGTGCAACGTCAGTGTTTATATTTTATATTTTTCCCAAAGAATTCCCAACATTTTCCACTCATCTACTATCTGCCACAGGGTTTCCAAGTGAACTTACGATTCAAGAATTACACAAATGAAACTCCAAGATGTAGTGACGCTTCGTGAAATATGGGTCCTAATCAACGCTTACACATCATGACAACCCAAAAGACCCAATGAAAAACATGTGAATTTGAAAAGAAATTCAAGACACAACATCCAAAACAGAGTGCATGGTCCACACTGAAGTAATGTAAAATACGATTGATGGTCCACGGCGTACAGTTCGTTCCAAGGATACCACCTTTCAAGTTTTGATTTAGACTGGACAAACGACACTTGTTTCACTTTTCACTGTTTCGGTGTGTAGTGGGGACCTTTGACCTTGAGAACGCTTTTAAACAATCTTGTCAAACTTGCTTGAGTTTAGTGCAATTTAGTGTAACATTTGAAACAGAATGGCCTACATATTATGTATTGATGAGGTGGAATGACGGTTTTTGACACAAATCAAGACACGGGTCTTGTCTGGTACTCCTATCACCAGTCTCAGAACTCCTCTGCGCATACTCCAGGTGGTGATGAGAGATGGCTTAGATAGACGTCCACGTTAGCGCCAGTGTCTTAACTTCCCACATTGCCGTTGCTGGCTTTAGACCAGAGGCTCACGTTGTGAGATATTGTACCTATTGATCTCAGCCCTTACTCCTGTGGACTCAAAAAGGTTGAAAATAATGCACAAGGCTAGATGCTTTGCCCCACAGTCGTGTCCACCGATTACATTGTCTGTATATCTCTTGTCGTTCCCTCTAATCTGCGTTTACGGCAAACCTGCTGCTGTGTGTTTGTGTATCTGTCGGATACTGCAAGCAAATTCCACAAAGTGGTATACAGTTGCAGGTGCGTGATGGTGGCTCGTGGACCTTTTTATATGATTTCATTGGTACTATTGGTACTGAAGAGAGATTTATCCCTTGAAGTTTTGCTATAAAGGACTCCACAGAAATGGCTTCCCAAATATATATAGGAAGTATGGGTTCCACTGAGCTGCTATTCTTGGCAGGAAAGAAAATCTGAGACAGTCCTTTTGGAGATAAAGGGTTAATCATGGAAATTAGAAGATGATTTCCTTGTTGAGATTTTAGCCCCATGACAATCGACTCAGTATTGATCAACATCGATCGCAAATTTTTGAAGATCAGATGTAGTGCAGGGTCAGCCATAATATAATTTTGCGTTCTTCCAGTAATTTTCATCCGAGGTCTTTAACTTTATAGATGGGGCAACGGTGATGCCTTAAATTCTGCAGGGCGCCTGGAAGTGTTTGGGCAAGGGCATAATACCAGGCCTAGCAGTCTATCAACACCAACAGAAATAAATCTCGTGCAAATAGTCCAAACATTCAGCAAGGCTTTACAATGGAGAATCAACCCAAAAGAAGAAGAGAAGAAAAAACGTTTATGCTTCCTCTTTTTTTTGGGGGGGTGTGTGCAAACAGGATTGTTTGGTTATGAACAAACCCACAGAGTAACGAGGGCTTGAAGGTTAGGCAAGAAGAAGTACATGCAGGCCCTAGGAAACCTGGAGCCCATTAGAAACTGTTTACAAACAACAGTAACAACAAAATTGTACTTGCACATTGAAGAGTACTGCTACACTACAATTATTACAACATGAAATAAAAGTACAAGAAAATCTCAAATGTAAAGCTCAAAACTACATCCTGCATACTCTGCATACCTTTACAACCACAGACATCTAGGTAACAATAGGCTAGAGCGCGTATAGAGATTGGTCATGTGGGGGAGGTACCCCCTCCGTCCCATATCTTGCAGGATATAACCTTACTAATTGTCGCTGTACAGTTCCACTCATTAAAGGGCTTTTTCACCGACGTAGAAATATATTTCCCCATTCTTTTTAAAATTCATTCATTATTTATTAAAATTTATTTTCACGGTCCAACCGCAGTCGTCTGTTAACACAAAAGGGCCATTTTTGAAAAGGGCCCGTGAGCGTCGTTCCAGTGCTAACTGGAGCCCAGGGCCAGGGAACAAATTGATCAACTGCTTCCTCGATCATTCTATTTATTCAGCTCAGTAAAAAACAATTAGTTTTTATTTATTTTGTCTTCAGGTTTACAGGTTGAAATATTTCATTCAAGACGACAGTGATAAAGACGTTTGGTGACATCCTTAACCACCAGCCAGAACTTGAATTGCCGAGTTCTCTAGCTCTGTTCAAATAACTCTCTCTATGTCAAGGGTTACATAATTTTTCTTGATAGTATGTCAATATTCACATAATGTATACTGGCTCCCTAATACTTTCAGTTTTGTTAACATTCATACAGAACTCGAATTCGACATTGGCTTTCTCTCTCGAGCTGATCGTGTGGCGCGTTACAAGCGTTTTCGAAATGAGTGGATTCAGCTTAGACTTCGAATTCGCTGGTTTTAGTCAGAGCTTAATCCTGTACCGATTCTTCAAAATGGCTGGAACCAGCGAATACAAAAGTCTAAACCGAATCAACTCATTTCAAATGTTACAGGTGGTGCACAGTCAGCCAGTGCTTTATGGATCTGAACCATAGGCCTAGAGATCATGATCTCGACCAATAGAATGGATAAATTGCCTGAGGCAAAATTTTCTGAATGCAGCAGAAACTGCACCCTTGTTCTGATTGTAAGGGTAACGAGTAAAATATGAAGTATAATTTTACGAACATTACGTCGCAACTATATCATCTTTCCTATCAATAGGAAGTGGTGGCAGAATACAAATAGTATATGTACAGCAACGGCTTCAACTTTGTGGAAGAGCTTTGCTTTTCAACGAGCACTTTGCTTGGCGTATATAGCCTCAATGATGAACACAGGAATCGACAACAACGTCAGCCCACTATACACGAAGAAGGATGTGATGAAACTCCCCGTCCATTCGTAAATCCAACCTTTAATTAAACAAACATAAGTAAGTATAGTTTCATCAGAAGCTAATCAATGACACATTTATGAGTCAAGCAGACAATGGTTCAGCAGCCTTTGAAAACACAACGAAGTTGGTGCACTGACAATTTTCAGAACTTGTTAGTGCCAAAATCAATCCCGTGAAAGCACGATAGCGCCCTATGTTGTTCACAGGCGTTTAGGCTGTAATGATGGGATGCCAACGCATGGCATCATTCTTTTTTTCATGAGTTGAGTGGAATGGACCGTGGAGGGAAAAAGTTTTTCAGCCTCTGCATCTTTCTCCTAGGTTAATCGCTTGAAAGGAAATGAAGGAAAGAATTTGGAAGCTTCTGCAAGACTAAGAGCTTTGTAACCCATCGTACAAGGACCTTTTGTAAACAGTTAGCACAGTGTTTATCATACCGTAAGTAGGCCTATGGAGTTTTAACAGGTTGAAGTTATATAGAATTAAAGTTGTGGGAAGGGACAGTTGAAACGTACACCACCATGAACTCTTGCCTTTGAGTGTACATTATAGACTGATATAGCTCCAAAGACATACTACGCGCGTTGGAAACTTCTTGATATACTTGTAGGCCCAGTCCATTCACTCAATTACCAGATGTACGTGAAATAGTCAGAAGGTGGGTAATAGAGTTAGCACGATAAGAAGGGCCCATGAAATGATAAAAGGACACGTACTGAACTAATAAAACGATTTGAATTGAGCTGAATTGACGCCCTCTATAAGTATATGTTAAAGAAATGAACTTGTTACGGGTGTGGCGATGTGGAACCATGCAATTAACACATTCAGTTCTTTTGTGTTTAGATTCAAATGAGACCACTTAATCAAATCTTTACGCCGACTTTTTGCAGGAAATCTGAGAACATTCTTACCAGAGAGTAATCCTCCAAGCGCTCCAGCTACGCCTACAAAGACTCCCTGCCAGGCCAGTATGCTCACCAACCGGTTATCTGTTGCAAGGAACCGCACCTTGACGTCAATAGCTTGGTACATCGCAGCGTAACCAACGCCTATTAGGCTCGTAATTACCAGCTGCCCAATAAAATGTGTTATGAGGGCGTCTGCCACGAACGATGCACACACGATGAATGCCCCAAAACACGCCCAAAATGTCAAGGGTGGTACCACCTTTTGAAAAAGGGGTACCACACACTTTCCGATTACGTTGCCAACCCCGAAAGCAGTAGGTAGAAATGATGCCTGGAGTTCGTTCAAGCCCTGAAATTGACCATGCGACACCATATACACCAACCAAGCGTTGTAGGCAAACGTCGCTGTGCACCTTCCAATAATAAGCAAAACAAACTTGACATCTGCCAACAGTTTGAAATCAAATGCAGCTATGAAGTCCAGGCAGCACTTCGATGGCGCCATTTCGCAATGACCGGGGAAGCCACGTGCACAGTCAGAGGTGTCGCTGACATGAGCTTCCCCTTCTTCCTGGTTGTTTCTCTCCTCATCGCCGATTGAAACCTCTTGATACCGATCGGTGTCTGCAGCAATGGACGATGGATCCCTTCGTACCAACACACCGCATGCGACCGCGTGGAACGAGATACCTCCCAATATGAGCATTGCTCCTCTCCAGCCGTAGGTGTCAAGAAGAACCTGTGTCATTGGCCCGTAAGCCATCACACCCAAGGGAATACCCATCGTCGATATACCAAGGGCCAAGGGATATTTGTCTTTGAAGTAAGAGGCCATGACAGCAAAACTGATACAGTAAGGGAACGCACACCCGATACCTGCCAAAAACGTTATAAATGGAAGAAAAATCCGTTTTAAGGTGAGTTAAAGATCCTATTTAAAACCCTGTTTTCATACTTTCCAACATCAGTGGAAGTTGGATCATCATATGCACCGGCTACATCCCCAAAGATCTAGCTGCTGATATCACAGAATTAACAACTGCTCTGTTGTCAAATTGCTCCCTAGCTGGTCAAAGATGGACACGTTTGCACCAGATTTATACAGGGGAGTTTGCGTTTGTGTACACAGGTCTACAAAACCTAGGAAAGGACGGGATAGAGTGCACTTTTGAAATCCTTTCGGATACTTCGTGCTGTTACTGAATAGATGCACCACAATAACGTTTCTTGTGTTTTTTTATTCGGGATTCGCAGTGCTATGGCTCTCACTTTCGACCCACCCTTTTTTGCCTTTGAAAAAATTCCTTGTGCCTCCTACATTACCTCGAATCGCCACAAATGAAAAACTTTGGAATTTCCAGGATAAATAATTTACTGCCACCTTTTCCCCTGACCGCCCAACCAAACGAATAACCCTCCCACAAGATTAAAAACTTATAAGACCCATAGGAGGAACCACTCACTGGTACCCTCACATATGATGAAAGGATGGTACACTACTATGGTGGTGTATCACATCAAATGAACGACTTGTCTCAGTTTGTTAGGCTTAGTTTTTTCCCTTCACAAAACAAACCAAACCAAACACACAAAAACAAACAAACAAACAAACAAACAAACACCCCAACAAACAAAAAAAACAAAAAACCCCACATATTTGTGAGCAATTTCTCTTTGTCGCTGTTGCACAACTAAAGTACATTTTGGAGGAGGGTACTTGGGGCCCTCATCTTCTGGAGAGGGGCAGGTTAGGATCTGTATTACCTTGTTCTCATGGAGTGTAACGTAAAATAATGACCAAGGCGGACATCAACCGATAAGGTTAGGCATGATGCCTCAAGGGGTGATGTGTCTCCCCTTAGTTACACCACTGCTGTTAAAATACAAAAGAGGCAGGGTTTCTGGAAGTCGCCATAAACATCACACGATTTCAACATGCTTTTTGTTAAACAGAATTCACTAATTATGTACATAAATTCTGTGTGCCTATCGAGTGCTCCACGCCGTGTCCTCCCAACACAGACACAATTAAACCCTCGAAGTGGTTTACTCAAATGGTCCGTGGTTTATTTAAAGAGCAACTCATAGGAAAACGTGTTTTCTCTGATTTTGTCTATTCAAATAAATATGGAAGCATCCAAATCAAACGCAGTGACATTTGTCTTCAGAGCACAACTCAAACAAGCTAAAAAGGGCTCTTTTTCTGTTCATACCATGATGTAAATTCTGAATGTAGATTGCGTCATTCTGGGAAAACAGAATATGTTCGTAGTGGATAAACCCTTGCGCATGCCAAACAATGGATACAAACAATGGCTACATGCAACACTTGGCATATACAAGGGTTTATCCACTACGAACATATGGCGAGGGTTCACCTCTTTTACTCTGTTTTCCCAGAATGACGCAATCTACATTCAGAATTCGCATCATGGTATGAACAGAAAAAGAGCCCTTTTTAGCTTGTTTGAGTTGAGCTCTGATGATCAATGACACTGTGTTCGATTTGGATGCTTCCATATTTATTTCAACAGATAAAATCAGAGAAAGCATGTTTCCGTTGAGTTGCCAACTGCGTTATAACACCTTGCTGGTTAATTCTCGTTGAGTGAAAAATGGTTACATGGGGTCCACTCTCAAGCAAGATACATGGCAACATGTTGAATTACAGTGTGCACAATGATAGAAGTCCCTTACCTGACAGTCCAATAATGAACACCGCGAGCAGAGAAACTGTAGGAGATATGGACGCCAAAATTATGCCAACGGTGTTCATGAGCCCACCCAAAATCATCATGGGACGGCTTCCAAACATACGGGAGAAGGCACCTGCAACAGGTCCTTCGTACAAAAAGAAAATGAAAATCTATCAGAAACACAAAGTTAACTACCAATACTCCTTCAAACTTTGGATCACGTAATAACTATTAATGTTAGGATGCACAGGGGGCTTAAATCTCAATGTGTTATTTCCAGCTATGTCATTTCTGTGGCTAATATGAATGGTTCTGACTGAGAATTTACCAGAGAAAGAAATACTCTGTAATTGAATTAGAACAGTTTGTATTTCGCAATGGCAAATTCTTCAGCACTCTTCAGCAGGTCCTGGCTATTTTAGCGACAACCAGCACATTTAATGCGTAAATATCAGTGACATTTTTTTTCAATCTTCACGTTTTTCTTCAAAATGTATGAAATCCCACTCTGAAAAAAGAGTGCTGTTGACATACGTTTGTGGACACACTCAAAACTAGCTGAGAGTTTTGTGTATTTAACTGATACACATTATGAAATCATATATACTTGCAATGCAAGAACATAAGCGTGATGTAATCCTGCTGCCGAATGTAACTGGCCTAAAACTGAAAGCTCACTGACTGATTGTCCTGCATCAAATCGACAACACAATTCATGGAAAACAGACGTGCATAGCAATGATCCCTTAATTTTTTTTTTATTATATTAAGACGCACAAACAAGAAAATCTAAAATGTTCTGTCTATAGCACTTCAATTTCTCTTACCAAAACAATAAAAACCTGTGCTGTATAAGACTACAACCCAGCCAATCAGCCACAGGTCACTGACAAAGTCGTCAGTCATCGGAATGAGAAGGACACCAAGAGCTTTGAGCTGACCAAAGATCAAAAAGCAGTTGACAAATGTTGCGGCCACCATGATCCAGCCCCAGCTGTCGTGGTCGTAATTGATGTGTGCCATGCCGGTGAAGTCATTTATGGTAAATCACAGCATGAAGGGACGACGAAAACCTTGTCAGATTCTGAAAATACACAACACAAATTTTCAGCACGAGACTTCCAACTTTGACGTTCCTTTGTGGTCTTATTGAGTGCGTCATCCGTAGGAATGCAAACTCATTTTTTTGCAAAACCAAGTAGGCCTACTGGAGAGGTCTTAACAGACCCCACCGAGAAACTACCCAATTTTGACCTTCCAGGCAAGCAACAGCTAATCCTGAACAGAATCCGCACAGCCTTTGTAAGAAAAGCCCACCATCTGCATAGGTGGGGGATGACAGAAATCCCGTCTCCCTACTTTGACTACGCCACCAGACTATTCAACACATCGTGAATGACTGTCCACTGAGGCCTTCCCTTAGCGGCATGAGATTCATTCACAAAGTGAGCGATGCTGCCTTGGCCAGGCTAACCACAATAGCCTGAGGCTGTGTATGCCTTAAGCAAGAAAAAGAAACTGGTTTTGTTAGTTCCAGTGTCTGTTTTTCTTGTGTATTTCGTGCCGTTGTGTATCATGTGACATTCTAAAAATATAATATAATAAAAATTAAATGTAATAAAAATGAAACAAAATGGCTCCCGGCTGAGATGTCGGATCTCATTGTTTTATTTGACGTCCGTGACCCAGACTGGGCCTGTGCCTTCCTGGTCACCCCTGAAATGTTACGTCACGATCTATATTTAACCATGGACGACACCTGACGCAAAATGTTAAGAGCCGTCCGCAAATTTCAGGCCAGGAGCCAGACTGACCCCTATACATCACTGAATGAAGTGTATACGTGCAACTTGAGTGGAGTCCGTGGGTCCATTGTGTTGTGTATTACAGGCCAAAGTTTTGGGTGTTAGCTGTGAAACCTAAAATTCACTCACTTAAATTTAAGAATTATGATAACTCAATCTTCTGTTGAATGTACAGCCTGGGAAGAGGGACTGTGCATACAAAGTGTGGACTTTTGCATAAAAAATTCCACATAACGTAGGGTGCGATGGCATTATGTGGACTCGCACACGACCACACTTCGTTTTCCCCTCTGAAAAACAGCTTCATGCAGAGGCATTTTGGGGTCAAGGTTATCAGTGGCAAAATGAAGAGGAGCAGTCCAGGAAATCATCATCAAAAATCCAGCTCGAAGGAGTTATCCTAAGTACAGTGGGAGAAAAAGGCGCATTTTTCCCAAGTTACCTTATAACCACTGGAGAACAAAGGATCGAATGTCCACACTTCGTATGTGGAAGTATTGGGTGCGCTGACGTACGTGACGAGTTGAGGCAGCCGACAGAGTAATATCCCGTGCAACCTGTGCTGCCGATAATATGACTGTATGGTTGTATGACTGGAAGCTGGAGTATATGGCAGGGTAGCTATTTGTCGCAACCGCTCGTATCGTCTGAACGCCGGCTAAAGAGTACCGAAGTGAATACGATAGTGGCACAATTATGTGTGCAATTAAGGCATTAATAGCTGGAGAACCAGCTTGTGAACCTTACCAACAGCGCGTATTCTGCTCGTTTGCACTACACCTCCTGGTTGAAAATAACGTCACACTTCAGTACTCTTTGGTGGTTGGCACTGAGAGGATGACTGCATATAAGATAATTTATTTAAACGCAATTACGCTTCAGAAATCAAAATGTTTTGTCGTAAAATTAATGTAGAAAATTAAGTGTAACTGCACAGAATGGTAATACGTATAGGCAAGTTTCAGCTTTTTACCGAGCATAATTTTAAGTCTCATTGCGCGTACATATACTTTAATTTTTGGCCGTCATTTATGTATACTTGAAACCCTTGCCACTCATACAAGTGTAGGGAGCTAAACATACATTTTTGATACACACCGTTTTATTTTGAAAAGCCTCTTTATAAGTGTTTTTGCGACCAAGTTCTGGTCAAAATTGGCGTTGACTCAACGAGTGCAGTGCATCAAGGCTGCGTGTATTACTGATTCGTGGTATATTTACAGTAGACTGAGTGTGCCAAGTGTTTTACAAAACGATAGCTGGTGCCAAATCAAATAAGCTGTGAGTTTATTTGCTTTTAATAATTTTTATTCATCAAACTATCCTAAATTAACTCAAATTCTAATTTTCGTTGAAGCATGACGGCACACGCACTGAAGCAGACGAATCAATGCGCGGATGTTTCTCCCTCGCGTTATGCTTCATGGGGCACATCGTCCACAAATTCTGCTTTGACCTTTTCAGCCTATAAAACTGCCTATTTTACCTCTTAGAAGACTTGTACATGTTTATGTTTGACGGTGTCGTTGGCCATAGGCACATGTTTTGTTAAAGGTTGAATAGTTTCAGTCTAAGAGAAGGTTAAAGGTACGTTTGCGGCGGGAAACATTTTGAATAGGTTTGGAGGTCCTTGGGACTTCTGTTGAGGTGTGACGTCGCTAGGTGATTATTGTTTTGATATATGACACTTTACGGTAGCGAGCCAGAAAAGAGAGTGCTGCGAACGCCATAATAGCAAGCAGAGCCTAGAGTCGAATGCCAATTTACAGTCCAATTTTAACCAACCGAAGAACCAACTGAAGAACCATTTCAATACCAATTCAACAAATTGAGTCCCATTTGAAAAATTCAATTGATGAGGGAAAACAAACGGGAGAGAAAACAAACCAACTGAAACCAAATGAGCACCAATTTGACGCAATTGAATTGGACCCAATTCATTCCAATTAAATCCAATTGAAAAATCAATTGGTTTGAATAGGCCATTTTCAGTAGGGTTGCAAGCCATTACATTAAAATACGTATATAAACTGCGTAGGCCTACAACTTTATTTGATGTAGCGTTCATCCTGATAAAATTCTTCAAAATATTGAATGATAGACTAAATATAAGATTAATTACGCGTATAATAGTTTTATAGAGCGCCTTTAAATTAGATCAAAGCGCTTTCCTTCCAGTATTCCTGGCAAAAAAAGAAAGCAGTCTGTTAGGTTGCCTTTCTAAACTTTAACTATAAAAAAGTGAGACCATTTTTGCAAATTAGAGAAATAAGAGTATAATAGTTCATCTATAATGGTAGATAACAAGTTTGTCTCTGAGTTGGATATACGTGTACTTTAAATCTTACAAGCAATCTTTATAAGAGCATTTGATTGCATGATTTACACATCACATGACACATTTTTGTTCTGAGGGAAATGAATGCCACCAGTTGCATAATGATAGGCAGTGGATATTTAGCCGTTGCCACCCAATAAGCTTTTGCGAGTTAAATTTGAATAAAATCTGGTACACTGAGTTCTTAAATTCACGTGAACATAACAATTGGAATTCTCCATACTAAAGCCACTGTTGCTATGCCTCGTGATTCGGGGCAAGCTTTTCCTGAGTTACATAAGAGACGCCTTGCAACAATACACTGTTCTCAATGGAAAAGAAGAAGAAAAGAAGAGGTAAAGCAACAGTGTCTTTAGTCTGGGGAATTCAAATTGTTATGTTTATGTGCAGTCAGATAACTCAGTGTACCAGATTTTATTCAAATGGCTTATTTAACCTTATGCTGGGTTCATTGCGCAGAAACTGTTATTGAACTTAACATGACAAACCTAGTCGGGTTCTTCGCCAACATAGCTGTTGTATTAAACTTCGTATTCACTAGGTGGGAACAATTCCGGCCTTTTCCCTTATAAATTTTCAAAAGATTTCCAGAGCCACGAATCAGAAAATGAAAAGGTAATGCTTTGTAATTATGCCTAAATGTCGAAGTAAATTTAAATAGTACAAAAGAGGAAATTCTTAATTTTTGGGGACAAACAAAGGACAACAGCTGGAGATCGAACCTAGCTGGGAGCGTATCAATTGATCTCAAGATGTGTGCGCTATCCAGTATGGACCACCGACTCTACTTGGAATTCAATGGGAACTATTTTAAAAACTTTTTTGCCGTCGACGGCTAAATATCCACTGCCGAGAGGATAAATGTTACGTCGCGCGCAGCTGGCTTTCAACCATGGCTCCTATCAATAGGACAGTAACTGGGTTGCAAACAGCGATTCGTCAAAGTAAAGCAACATCTTCAGCTTTATAGTAAAACCTTGCCTCTCAACGAGTACTTCGTTTAGCGTATATAGCTTCTTTGATGAAGACAGGAATCCACAGCAACACCAATCCACTATACACGAAGAAGGATATGGTGAAACTCTCCGTCCATTCGTAATTCCAACCTTTCACGAAAAACACGAAAGTATATTTACTCTTCAGAAGTGAAGCGGTGACTTGTTTATGGGTTAAACAGACGCAATTTATCGAGAAGTTTCAAAACAAAATAACATTCATGCACTCACATCCTGTCAAAGACTGAAAGTTATGATGAGAATAACCCTGTTTTGGCTGGGGGAGTAGGACCATGTTGTTACTGCATTAAATTATTTGGAATTTTTTTAACGGGACGAAGCCTAATCAAAGCTTAAGCTTTCTAAGGGAAGCTTAAATCATTCTAACCTGAGAGTAATCCGTCAAGTGCTCCAGCTACGCCAGTAAAGATTCCTTACCAGGCCAAAATATTCACCAATCGGTCATCCGTCGAAAGGAACCGAATCATGACGTCAACAGCTTGATACAGCAGAGCATAACCAACACCTACTAGCCCCGTAATAGCTAACTGTCCAATGAAATGTCTAATGAAGGCGCCTGCCACGAACGATGCGGACACAATGGTTGAACCAGCACAAACCCAAAATACAGTTTTAGACCCTGTTGCAAGAGGGGTACCACACACTTTCCAATGGCGTTGCCAACCCCGAAAGCAGTGGGCAGAAATGATGCCTGAAGTTCGTTCAAGCCCTGAAATCGACCATGCGACACCATATACACCACCCAAGCGCTGTAGGCAAACGCTGAGCAGCATCTTCCAATAAGAAGCAAAACAAACCTCACGGTCAACAGTTTAAAATCAAATGCAGCTATGAAGTCCGGGTAACACTTCAATGCGCTTCAAT